GAACCCAAAAATGGACTAACGGTTACCAAAGGGAAAGGGACTGGGCAGGAGGTGTGGGAAGGGAGGGATAAGGGCAGGGAAAAAGAAAGGGGGCCTTATGATTAGCATGTATAATGTGGGGGTGGCATAGGGAGGGATGTGCAACACAGAGAAGACAAGTAGTGAGTCTACAGCATCTTACTACACTGATGGATAGTGACTGTAATGCGGTTTGTGGAGGGGGGACTTGGTGAAGGGGGAGTCTAGTAACCATAATGTTCTTCATGTAATTGTAGATTAATGATAATAAAATGAATTTTAAAAAAACTATTGATCAGGGACAAAAAAAAAAAAAACTAGCAGAGTGCAGTGGGTGTATTTAAAATTCCATTTTCTATAAACTAAAAGTTAAATTCCAGACAATGATCTCGACTTTTGATATATCCATGATGTGATGGAAACATTTAAAAATTGTGGATCTCTCTCCCACTGATTGAAAGGTAATTGAAAGATGGTGTTTTATCCATATTTATCCTTGGGTTACTCTCTCCCAGCCCAGTTTCTCACATGGAAAGTCCGTAACAGAGGAGTTCACAGTTAGAAAAAATTAAAGATTGAATAAAACCTTTTTATTTTTAATTACTGAGTTTCAAGTTCCCCAGTTAAAAGACCACCCAAGTTTTAGGGCTTAGTAAATATGTTCTTTGAAGCCTAGACTATTTTTTTATACTACTAGATTAATGTGTTATTAGTCACAAAGAATATAAACAAGTTATGTAAAAACATCACATATATGAAAGCATTTTTGCAAACTGTAAAGCCGTACAGAAATTTTTAAAGAAATATTATTCTGGTGTTATTCTGAAGCTAGAAGTGTCGTGAAATTACAAAGTGAAACCTCTTGTATTTGAAACAGCTCACACCATTCACAAAACTAAGTTTCCTCTTTTTTTATCATGTAACTCCAAGAGTGAGAATATCTTTTCCAATTATTAAAGACAAAGTTCAACTGAAATTGACTTAATAGCAATAATTATAGTAATATAGAGAGGGAATAATCAGCCTTATATGTGCAAAAGATCTAAAGAAGCTGGATTTGTCTTAGGAACCTTCAAAGACACACCCTTCTATTACTAGGTTTGAAAGTCCTAAGAAAAACTGCAACACTCTTGAAAATTGTATTAAAACTGGGCGCTTTCAACACTCAAGAGCTGTTTTGACATGTCAAACGTAACCTTGGGTCTTTGAAAATCCTAGCCTTTATTGCACACTTTCCTTAAGTCATACATGTTAAAATACACACATTCTTGCTTTTGATTACACATTGTATCAAGAACTGTATGTTCAAAATTAAGATAGGGAAATTTCTGTTAAGTATATATGGAAACAGCTCATTTTTGTATAGCCAGGACTCCATTTTTGGATAGCTCTTATGTCGCAAACGATGGAACACTTCATTTTATGGTAACCTTCAAAATATTACCTGAGAAGTGTAAGTAGTTCAACCTGCCGGCTTTGAAAAGCCTAATCCTGTTTGTTATGATGGAACTTACATAAAATGGAAATATACAGTTGACAGTCTTCGACGTTCTTAAAAACAAAGTAACAGAAACAAAAACCAGGAGCTAGCAATTAAAGTCCTCCAAACGGCCGCGCTCCACAAATACTTCTTCCAAAGAAGTCTGGTATATTTTGGGTAGCCCTCCGTGATCACTGGGCGGACAGTCCTTTAGGGAAAGCTGCTAGTGTGAAGTACAAAGACAATAAACCCCTTCCTTTCATTCCCTCTGCAGGGGGTAGAATAAATAGGGAACTGAATGAAGTCTTATTTACGTATTTGGGCGCACGGTCTTGTCTCGTGAACCCTACTCTGCCGAAGCCGAACACTTGGGAGAGCAATAGTGATTCCCAGCGCTGCGCCCCGGGGGCGCCTGGCCTCAAGCCTACCGGCCCGTCCGAGGGACACCCGGCCTGCAAGGGGCAGTCAAGGTTCCCTGAGGGCGCCAGGAAATTCAGTGCTCTTCACACGCTACGGACAAGAATCAGGCAGGGTAGAAAAAAGGCGAATTTCTTCCCCAGAGTCCTGGTGACAAAACCACGTAGAAGGGAAGGAGGGTAGTATAATATCGGGTGCGGGATAGGGAGTCAGGGAACAAAGAGACAGGAGGAAGGGGAGACAGTCACACCAACGCAGGCTCAGAAGGGCGCTCCGACTTTACGCAAGTGTCCCGCATTTCCACCGTGCTCAGGTCCCGTTACGCCATAACCCTACTCTGCCGAAGCCGAACACTTGGGAGAGCAATAGTGATTCCCAGCGCTGCGCCCCGGGGGCGCCTGGCCTCAAGCCTACCGGCCCGTCCGAGGGACACCCGGCCTGCAAGGGGCAGTCAAGGTTCCCTGAGGGCGCCGGGAAATTCAGTGCTCTTCACACGCTACGGACAAGAATCAGGCAGGGTAGAAAAAAGGCGAATTTCTTCCCCAGAGTCCTGGTGACAAAACCACGTAGAAGGGAAGGAGGGTAGTATAATATCGGGTGCGGGATAGGGAGTCAGGGAACAAAGAGACAGGAGGAAGGGGAGACAGTCACACCAACGCAGGCTCAGAAGGGCGCTCCGACTTTACGCAAGTGTCCCGCATTTCCACCGTGCTCAGGTCCCGTTACGCCACTGGCTTGGCCTCAGAGCCTTCACGAATATGGCTTTGCGCACTGCGGCGAGGCTGCGCCGCAACCAAACTTGCCCGGTGCCTCTTCCCCGCCTCCCTGCGCGGATTGGTGGCAGGCGGCACCCAGACTACTGATTGGGTAGTGAAGGAGCCATTCGGGACGGCTCTGGTGGGTTCGCCTGCCCCGGAGTGATAAGTTCGGCTTCAGACACGCCTTAGCGCCAGCAGCGAGCCGGAGCTCTATGGAGGTGGCGGCGAGTACCGGGTGGTGGCTGCAGCAGCGACTCCTCTGAGCTGAAAGTTTCAAGTCGTTCCCGACTCCTTCCTCCCCTTCCCTCCCCCTTTTTTGTTTTCCGTTCCCCTCCCCTCCCTCCCCGTCCCCGACGACCGGATCCTGAGGAGGCAGCTGCTGTGGCAGCTGCTGAGTTCTTGGTGAAGGTGAGTGGAGCCACCGCCGCCGAGTAGTGTGTTCCAAAATGGCCGCCGTGCCCCGGCCGCTTCTTCTTGAGCGGCACAAAATGGCGGCCGCAGGCGGAGCCGGGCGGGGCGACCCTTTCTAACGTTTCCACTGCACAGTGGGCACAGTGGGCGAACAATTCCTGTTCGCTTTTATTCTCCCTTTCCCGTTGTTGACGGAATAGAAGGAATCCGACAGATCTGGCTTGTTGCAGTTGGGGGCCGTCCCGTGCGGAGCCGAGCCTGGGGTCGGGGCGGGCCGAGGCGCGGGTGTGCTGCGACGGCAGGGAGCGTGGCGGGGCAGCGCGCGCCGCGACGGGGAGGGACGCGGGCCGGCGGAGAAGGCCCGGCCGTTGGCGCTGGACCAGCCGAGGCACAGGAGTCCCGGGGCCTGGCCTCCCTATGGGGAGGTATGTGGAGCCTCTGTGTCGGCCGGGAGCGAAGGGCCCTCCCAGCGGGCCCCGCCTGGGACGGGAGAGGGAGAACAAGGACTTAGGCCCTTCCGTCCGGAGGCAAGGGAACGGAGAGGCGTCTGTCAGTCCCTTGGGGGTTTACAGGGCGGGAGGGAGCCGGCTTGGAGGCGGCTGGTGGGCAGGAGGCCGCCCTCCTGCCTGGAGAACAAAGAGCCGGGCGTGGGGGCGGCCTCCGCTCCCCCCCACCCCCGACCGAGGCTTGTTCCCGGCGGCTTCGCAGGAAGGTTGTCGGAAGCACTTCCCTAAGTCAAGCTTGGGTGGGAGGAATCCGCTGCTCTTTTGTTCCAGGAAGGGAAAAAGCGGGCCGGAGGTTCCTGTTGCCATGTTGTAGCCCTCGTCTTCGCCTGCTTAGTGCCAGCCACTGTCCACCCCGTCCCTCTCGCAACTTCGCGGATGCCCTCCGTGCGGGGGAGTTTAAAGAATGGACAGTGAAGAAGACTGCTAAGCAGTCTTCACCTAACTCTGAACCAGTCTGTGGGCTCATCTCAGATTCAGTAAAAACTACTGCATTTTCCACATAATATTTAATAAGTCTGCGTTGATAAGAGAATTTTCTGTTGGGTTTCTGTTTCTGTACTCACTTTTAAGGGAAGTACAGTGGATTTTTCAGAGATTAGTCCTTAGCTGAGATGTTCTTGGTTCTATGAAGGTTCTTTGCATTTTTGAACACAAGGAAATTTTCAGGTGGCCAAACAAAATTAAATTTCAATGTCTATTTTTCTTTGAGTGCATTCTATTTTTAGTCTTGTGAGATCTGCAATGCAGTGAAAGTTAAATTAACTGCAGTGCTAGGATCTGAAATAAGTCATAACTGAAGGAGGATTTATAGAATTGTATGTTAACAATATCTAATTTTGGTACTCTTTCTCTCATTCTAGGTTTTTCGTTTCTCCCATCCTCTTCCCTCCCCACCCCAATCCATTAATATTATTCTTTTGAAGATTCTTCGTTGTTAAGCCGCCAAAGTGGAGAGTGCGATTGCAGAAGGGGGTGCTTCTCGTTTCAGGTGTGTGTAGATTTAGTTTTGGCAGTTGCTAGGGAGAAAAACCAAAAGAATGGCCACCCTAAATAATTCTAAGTTAGTGTGCTGCAAGTTTAATTCGTAATGTGTACATTTTTAAAAAGTACTTGAAGTTTCCCTGCCTTCTACTAACTGCCATCTGAAGAATGAATGTCAATTACTTGGTGTTCCATTAGTCCCAAGTTCAGTCTTCATCTGTGGTGTAATTTCTGAAATACAAAATAATTAAAAGACCCACTAGCTTTTAAGTGAGACAAGACGTAATTGGGGTATGTGTATATATATATTTTTTATGTTTTTTCTTTTAAACAGTGCTTCTTCGGGCGGAGGAGGAAGTAGGGGTGCACCTCAGCACTATCCCAAGACTGCTGGCAACAGGTATGTATAAAAAGCATGCAAAAACAGTATTTTATAAAAATCAGATTCACAGATTAATAGTTTTTTGCTAGCAGTATAGTTATGGCAGCAGATGTCAGGAGTCCTAATCTTACGCATGGCATGGTTCTGTTACATATCCTAAAATTAGAGTACCAGTTCTTGATTATTCTTTAGCCAAATCATTTGATGTGAGTTAAAGCTCTCAAACTATTTTATCTTCTTACTCTTTGGATTATTGTTTTCACTGATGTTATTTCTGAAACCAGTTTATTTTCCATACTGACTGGGTACAGCAAGGCAGTGTGAATGCATCATGGTCATAGACATTAGAAAATACTGGTTCTAGAGGTGTGGCTTCTGGACCGGCAACATTGGCATCACTTGGGAGCTTATTAGGAATGCATATTATCAGGCCCTATACGCAGACCCCCTAAAGCAGAAATTGGGAGTAGGCCTAGCAGTCTGTTCACTCAGCCCATCAGATGTTTATGGTACACACTGTTGTTTAAGAATCACTGATGGTGAGTTACTTAGTTGTTAGCAAAGTCGAGAAGAACTTAATTGCCTTTTCTATTTAGAAGAATTTCTTAGTGGTAAGGTATTTGATAGATGTGCCTGGATTCTGTTTAAATTATCTTAATTATAAATGTCAATTTTCACTAGCGAGTTCCTGGGGAAAACCCCAGGGCAAAACGCTCAGAAATGGATTCCTGCACGAAGCACTAGACGAGATGACAACTCCGCAGCAAACAACTCCGCAAATGAAAAAGAACGACATGATGCAATCTTCAGGAAAGTAAGAGGGTAAGTTTATAGGTCTATCCTTTTACTAAAAGGGAAGCAGAATGGTTTGGCTGTATTACTTTTGTGTGTGGTGCTATATCACTCAGAAGGTATTGTCAATGCCCAAAGTACCTATTTAATGAATGTCAGTGTTGACAGTTTTATCTTGATGAGCAGCATATCAGTATTTTGGGACTTAGAGTTGGTTTTGGACATTGAGCTAAAATCCAGAAGCCTTTTATGCTGCCACTTCATGTGCCTGCTGTGGCACAGAACATAATGGTCTTAACTCCTGGAGCTAGCTTTGAATAATAAGGCTCTTGCTCTCGGTTTTGAGGATTTGAGAAAGATTTCTTGAACAGCTGGGGACCCCAGTAGGGTAACGAAGTTTGCTTCAACATCATCTTGGTTGGATGGGTTAGAAAATGAGTCTTTATTAAAGAGCTAATGTAATTAAAAAGATTAACATAATTTAAAAAGCTGTTTCTCAATTCAGTGCTTCGAGTATTAGCTGACACAGTGTCGTCGTTTTTTTCCCAGCATACTAAATAAGCTTACTCCTGAAAAGTTTGACAAGCTATGCCTTGAGCTCCTCAATGTGGGTGTAGAGTCTAAACTCATCCTTAAAGGGGTCATACTGCTGGTAAGTGAAATGTTGGCTTTGACTGAAAGAGAGAGGAAAATACTAAGCAAACCCAAGCTTTTCCTTGGTATCATTGCTTAACAATGAGGTGTGAGCTAGATAAATGGACTTTTAAGTAATGATGGTGTTAAAAAAAACTACCAACTTAATGGCATCAGATTTAAGAGGTGAATTTTAAATTGTTCAGCCACGCTGGAAGAATGAAATAGGGGCTTATCAGCTGACTCTCCCAGGGTTTTTTGTTCTTCCCTCTGGAAAACATCATTTTGGTCTTGGAAATGAAATTGTATGATAGTTGGTATAAGATTAGATTCTGGTGTCTATAGTTTTGATATCCAAGATATTTTCAAATCCTGAGCAGGAGGGGTGTGGCTAATATGAGATCTGTATAAATTGGACCTTTCTGGTACACTGTAATAGTCAACATGTAAGTGCCTCTTATTTTCGGCTGTATGCAAAGCACTTCATATGCATTGTCTAATCTAGTTCATGTAGTAACTCTTACGGAAGAGGTGCTCTTATTCCCAAATTGTAAATGGGTCATTGACAATTGGTCAGTAAGGAATTTATTGAGAGATTTAAGACTCTCAATAAGACTCTCTTAAGACTGCAGGGGGAAGTATTACAAAGGAAGGGTTCTTCCCAAAAATTGTCATATTGAGTAAAAAACTTGTTTTTTACATTGTCCTTCAGATTGTGGACAAAGCCCTAGAAGAGCCAAAGTATAGCTCATTGTATGCTCAGCTATGTCTGCGGTTGGCAGAAGATGCACCAAACTTTGATGGCCCAGCAGCAGAGGGTCAGCCAGGACAGAAGCAAAGCACAGTAAGCGGTAGTGTTTGCTTGCTTATTTTAAAGTTGGTTTGGAAGATTTCATTAACAAAACCTGCCAAATGTCTTTATTATTTCCATTAGACATTCAGACGCCTCCTAATTTCCAAATTACAAGATGAATTTGAAAATCGAACCAGAAATGTTGATGGTGAGAATTTATTATGTTTAATGCTAAGTAGTACTTTGTATTTTCAACTTGATACTGAATATTGACTTTTTTTCTTTTGTATTTTCTTCAGTCTATGATAAGCGTGAAAATCCCCTCCTCCCTGAGGAGGAGGAACAGAGAGCTATTGCTAAGATCAAGATGTTGGGGAACATCAAATTCATTGGAGAACTTGGAAAGCTTGATCTTATTCATGAATCTATCCTTCATAAGTGCATCAAAACAGTAAGTTTCACTGGGAATTTAGACTTAATCACTGTGTGCATCATTATTAAGGGGAAATTGTGATTGCTTTGTACCATCTGAGTATGTTGGTAGGCTAGTTAACAATTTTGCTGGCCATGTAGAACATTTATTTACATGTTGTAAATGTTGGGAGTATGTAGTGTTTTGCATGGAAGGGTAGAAGTTACCTACATTGAAATTGCTTATTTGGAGGGATTTCTTCATAGAAAAAAAAAAGAAAGTACTATACTCCTCCCTACTGTAGGAATTACTAAGTCAGTGCAAACATGAGGGAAAGTACTTCATCTAAACCAAGTAAGATATTGTCAACATCTGGCATTTTACTTCTTTTGGTAGCTTTTGGAAAAGAAGAAGAGAGTCCAACTCAAAGATATGGGAGAGGATTTGGAGTGCCTCTGTCAGATAATGAGGACAGTGGGACCTAGATTAGACCATGAACGAGCCAAGGTATGTGTGTTGCTGACAGAAACGGTGTGAGTAGCTTGTCTTACTTATACTCAGCTTCCTTGTGGTATTATAGGGCATAGCTATATTTAGTCATTAACCTTGATTGTAATTCAGAAGTCTTAAAAGCCCTTATATATACATTTGCCATAGTTCTTTTCTTCCTAATCAATGTATTTTTCTTTTATTAGTCCTTAATGGATCAGTACTTTGCCCGAATGTGTTCCTTGATGTTAAGTAAGGAATTGCCAGCGAGGATTCGTTTCCTGCTGCAGGTAAAACTGGTTTCTTTAAATGTGTTGTTCGTAAAGCTGAGTTTCCATTCAGGAATACTGAAACGAAACTATTCTTAAATTAAAGGACACCGTAGAGTTGCGAGAACACCACTGGGTTCCTCGCAAGGCTTTTCTTGACAATGGACCAAAGACGATCAATCAAATCCGTCAAGATGCAGTAAAAGTAAGATAGTTACTGTTTTCTTCTTGAAATCACTGGGTTAAATAACTTCATAGTAGCACAAGGATCCTTAATGCTTATTTGAGACTTACTGGTAGAGCTTAATGTATTTAGTGTCTTGAATGCCATTTTTAGAGAAAGCTCTACAGAAATTATATAAATAGCACTCTAATAGTCTAGAAGTTCGTGTTTTCCCTAGTGTAAGAATTTTAGTTTTTTGCAGAAGTGTCCAGAATCAAATGTTTATTCCCTTTATTTCAAAAGGATTTAGGGGTGTTTATTCCTGCTCCTATGGCTCAAGGGATGAGAAGTGACTTCTTTCTGGAGGGGCCGTTCATGCCGCCCAGGATGAAAATGGATAGGGACCCACTTGGAGGACTTGCTGATATGTTTGGACAAATGCCAGGTGATTATGAACAAAACTGTGGTTTGGTTAAGTTAAAATTCAGTTTAGTATTTTTTATAATAATAGAGTTGTAAAGAATTGTCCATGAATGTATTTTAAGGTAGCGGAATTGGTACTGGTCCAGGAGTTATCCAGGATAGATTTTCACCCACCATGGGGCGTCATCGTTCAAATCAACTCTTCAATGGCCACGGGGGACACATTATGCCTCCCACCCAGTCGCAGTTTGGAGAGATGGGAGGCAAGTTTATGAAAAGCCAGGTGAGAAAACATTTAAGAATGTTAAGGCAACAAGTGTTAGATCATGAAATGTGTGTGATTTTGGCTTTTTTAAAGTGTGGGTGTTTTAGTGTCTTTTTTTCCTAAACCGTATTTACCCCCGTGATGGTTACTTCAAGCTGGGCAAAATGCTTATCTTTTAAGATGAGTAAAATATTAGTAAAATCACATCACTTTATTTGACAGGTTAGTTGGGTTTGGTTTTTGTTTTGTTTTGTTTTTTTAATTCTTCCCTGTTGAATCTTTTACTTTCTCTGGAGAAAATTCAATTTAGTTCTCCTTATGGCTTATGGAACCCTTATTATCTAGACTTTCTTTCTCCTTTTCTGTAATAGGGGCTAAGCCAGCTCTACCATAACCAGAGTCAGGGACTCTTATCCCAGCTGCAAGGACAGTCGAAGGATATGCCACCTCGGTTTTCTAAGAAAGGACAGCTTAATGCAGATGAGGTACATTTGCCTATGTTACTTATATGCCGTAGTCTGTCGATTCAGAAATCTATTGCCCGATGATTATAAAAAGACGCGTTATTAAGAGGACTTAATGCTGGAGTTCTTTAAACTTTCTTTCTTTTCTGTACTTCTTTTTCTTTTCTTTGGCTGTCCAGCGTCCTATGAGTGAAGATTATGAGATATGAGGGCAAGCCTCTTAAAAGTATTCAGTTAGAGCAAGGGAAACGATTGTCAAGATTTTGATTGTGATTTCTCTGTACATTACTTAAATACATCTTCCAAACTAATTAGAATTTTCTGGTTTTTAATATTTTGGTGATGCTTATCCAAGGAGAATTCTGTACAAATATAAATAGTATCTTACTCTTGAGTGGGTCAGATCTTTTTAAGTTTTCTTGCCAGAAATGAAACATGTTAACTGGAGTGAAGCCTTCCCAGTTACTTGAGAAACTGACATTTGTACCCTAGATTCTATAGTGTTTTCTACATACTGCATTAATTTAGAATTTGGAATGAAGTGTATTTAGTTTGCTAACTGCATGTTGTTAATTTGGGTATCTGTTCTGATTTGTTTTTAATTCTAGATTAGCCTGAGGCCTGCTCAGTCATTCCTAATGAATAAAAATCAAGTGCCAAAGCTTCAGCCCCAGATAACTATGATTCCTCCTAGTGCACAACCACCACGCACTCAAACACCACCTCTGGGACAGGTATGAACTGTGGTGTGGCAACATTTCTAAAGGTTTTTTTGGTGTTTTGTGTATTCTATGGGCTTTTTTTTTTTTATAATAATAGAGTTGTAAAGAATTGTCCATGAATGTATTTTAAGGTAGCGGAATTGGTACTGGTCCAGGAGTTATCCAGGATAGATTTTCACCCACCATGGGGCGTCATCGTTCAAATCAACTCTTCAATGGCCACGGGGGACACATTATGCCTCCCACCCAGTCGCAGTTTGGAGAGATGGGAGGCAAGTTTATGAAAAGCCAGGTGAGAAAACATTTAAGAATGTTAAGGCAACAAGTGTTAGATCATGAAATGTGTGTGATTTTGGCTTTTTTAAAGTGTGGGTGTTTTAGTGTCTTTTTTTCCTAAACCGTATTTACCCCCGTGATGGTTACTTCAAGCTGGGCAAAATGCTTATCTTTTAAGATGAGTAAAATATTAGTAAAATCACATCACTTTATTTGACAGGTTAGTTGGGTTTGGTTTTTGTTTTGTTTTGTTTTTTTAATTCTTCCCTGTTGAATCTTTTACTTTCTCTGGAGAAAATTCAATTTAGTTCTCCTTATGGCTTATGGAACCCTTATTATCTAGACTTTCTTTCTCCTTTTCTGTAATAGGGGCTAAGCCAGCTCTACCATAACCAGAGTCAGGGACTCTTATCCCAGCTGCAAGGACAGTCGAAGGATATGCCACCTCGGTTTTCTAAGAAAGGACAGCTTAATGCAGATGAGGTACATTTGCCTATGTTACTTATATGCCGTAGTCTGTCGATTCAGAAATCTATTGCCCGATGATTATAAAAAGACGCGTTATTAAGAGGACTTAATGCTGGAGTTCTTTAAACTTTCTTTCTTTTCTGTACTTCTTTTTCTTTTCTTTGGCTGTCCAGCGTCCTATGAGTGAAGATTATGAGATATGAGGGCAAGCCTCTTAAAAGTATTCAGTTAGAGCAAGGGAAACGATTGTCAAGATTTTGATTGTGATTTCTCTGTACATTACTTAAATACATCTTCCAAACTAATTAGAATTTTCTGGTTTTTAATATTTTGGTGATGCTTATCCAAGGAGAATTCTGTACAAATATAAATAGTATCTTACTCTTGAGTGGGTCAGATCTTTTTAAGTTTTCTTGCCAGAAATGAAACATGTTAACTGGAGTGAAGCCTTCCCAGTTACTTGAGAAACTGACATTTGTACCCTAGATTCTATAGTGTTTTCTACATACTGCATTAATTTAGAATTTGGAATGAAGTGTATTTAGTTTGCTAACTGCATGTTGTTAATTTGGGTATCTGTTCTGATTTGTTTTTAATTCTAGATTAGCCTGAGGCCTGCTCAGTCATTCCTAATGAATAAAAATCAAGTGCCAAAGCTTCAGCCCCAGATAACTATGATTCCTCCTAGTGCACAACCACCACGCACTCAAACACCACCTCTGGGACAGGTATGAACTGTGGTGTGGCAACATTTCTAAAGGTTTTTTTGGTGTTTTGTGTATTCTATGGGCTTTTTTTTTAAAAAAAGTTCACTAAACATTTTTTCCTATTACACTGTTGGTTTTAGACACCTCAGCTCGGTCTCAAAACTAATCCACCACTTATCCAGGAAAAGCCTGCCAAGACTAGTAAAAAGCCACCACCATCAAAGGAAGAACTACTTAAACTAACTGTAAGTGTTCAATAATCCCACAGTCTAATTCATGGAGTAAATTTGAGGTAAGAAGACATTGTAAAAGATACTTGGGTTGTGTTTTCAGGAAACTGTTGTGACAGAATATCTGAATAGTGGAAACACAAATGAAGCTGTCAATGGTGTGAGAGAAATGAGGGCTCCTAAACATTTTCTTCCTGAGATGTTAAGCAAAGTAATCATCCTGTCACTGGATAGAAGCGATGAAGATAAAGAAAAAGCAAGTTCTTTGATCAGTTTACTCAAGCAGGAAGGGATAGCCACAAGTGACAACTTCATGCAGGTGGGGCACTTCTCGGATTCTGTAAGAGTTCTCCTTCAATTTGAATTTGAGAACTAAGCTGTGTTCTGTATTTCTTCTAAGGCTTTCCTGAATGTACTGGACCAGTGCCCTAAACTAGAGGTTGACATCCCCTTGGTGAAATCATACTTAGCACAGTTTGCAGCTCGTGCCATCATTTCAGAGCTGGTGAGCATTTCAGAACTAGCTCAACCACTGGAAAGTGGCACCCATTTTCCTCTCTTCTTACTTTGTCTTCAGCAATTAGCTAAGTTACAAGATCGAGAATGGTTAACCGAACTTTTTCAACAAAGCAAGGTCAATATGCAGAAAATGCTCCCAGGTAAGAGAATGCCAGGGAATTTTTTATATATACATTATGTATATACATACACATACCACACACACACATAAACTGATTCTAGAGATTTCTTAGTCCCATGATTGGATTTATGTAGGTCAGACATGTAATTATCCTCTCCGGATAAGCATGACCATTACCACAGGTAGACTTCATCTTTATTTTAAAAAGAGAGGTTATTATGATTTAACTACTTCCCTTTGGTCTATAGTTTTTGCTGGGTTCTTTATTCTATATGAATCTTACACATTTGGGAAATCATTTGTAAAGCTCTTTTCTAGACCAGTCACATAAAATGAACTAGCTGATGATGGAAATGCCTTTGTCTCTTCAGAAATTGATCAGAATAAGGACCGCATGTTGGAGATTTTGGAAGGAAAGGGACTGAGTTTCTTATTCCCACTTCTCAAATTGGAGAAGGAACTGTTGAAGCAAATAAAGTTGGATCCATCCCCTCAAACCATATATAAATGGATTAAAGATAACATCTCTCCCAAACTTCATGTAGATAAAGGATTTGTGAACATCTTAATGACTAGGTAAGATAAAGTTGTGGTCATCTACCTACAATACAAAGTTAGGCCTTATTTACTAGAGAAAGGTCCACAGTGCAAGGGACTAAGAATTGTCTGTTTCAAAGTTTTTGGGTTCTTAAAAGATCTCTTTCTGTTATGCAGCTTCTTACAGTATATTTCTAGTGAAGTAAACCCACCCAGTGATGAAACAGATTCTTCCTCTGCTCCTTCCAAAGAACAGTTAGAGCAAGAGAAACAACTGCTGCTTTCTTTCAAGCCAGTAATGCAGAAATTCCTTCATGATCACGTTGATCTGCAAGTCAGTGCCCTATATGCCCTTCAGGTGCACTGCTACAACAGCAACTTCCCAAAAGGTGAGGGGACAGATACCAGAAGACTGGTGAGTACAGGGCACTTCAACAGCACACTGAATTGATGGGGTTATGTTTTCTCTTCTAGGCATGTTACTCCGTTTTTTTGTTCACTTCTATGACATGGAAATTATTGAAGAAGAAGCCTTCTTGGCTTGGAAAGAAGATATAACCCAAGAGTTTCCGGGGAAAGGCAAGGCTTTGTTCCAGGTAAATAATTTGTTAGAAATTTGGCCATTTCTTTGCTTTTTAAACTTTAATGATCATTTAAAACTCGAATACAGGCAAAATAGTCCTAGTAGTTTGTATATACATACCATTCTGCACTGTATAAGCTTTTTTAAGGTAGGCATGAAAGGCTTTAATCCTAATGTTGGGTAAGATGTTAAAAGTAGCTGACTTTATTTTAGAAGTAAAGGTACTTGAAAGATTGAGTTTAAGCTTTTAAAATGTTAGAGGAGATAAGAAAAATCAGAAGTGATCTCCCCTTTACCATCTTACTAAGTGGAATTCTGGCCTAGGGGCAGAACTTTATACCTCGGGGTTTTAAACTCAGTGCACATTAATAATCTGAAGAGTGGTTTGGGATAAGTCCTGGAACCTGCCTTTAGAGATTCTGATTTATTGGGTCTGTGTGTGGTACACAACCCAGATGATTTCGTACACTAGTGTCCCTGGAGACCAGAGAACAATGGTTTTATGGTATCTAGGTTCACAGATTAGCTTTATGAGGATCATCCTGTAGCAAGTTAGTCTTTGCCCTGTTCTTAAGGTATCTGATCCAGCAGTTCTGGGGTGGGGCTTGAAGTGTGTTTGGGAATCTTCCTTACTCCGCAGTACTGCTGACAAGCAGGCTCAGCAAGAGCCACTCCCACACTGAAATCTGAAATTGTAATTAGAGCAGTGTCAAAAATGACACTTCACTAGCCGTAAATGACTTACATGTTACCCAGGTACAAATAAACCACTTCTCAAATACTAATATACAATTAATTTATTTGTAGTATGTTCTAGAGGCTATTTTTGCGATTGTGAAAGGAGTCCTATCTGTTATTGGGTGGGTTGCTAGTTTGATCCTGAAGACTATTTGAAGTTTTCATCTTTTAATTAAGTACTACTAATTTTGTTAAATTCTAAATTAAATCACAGGTGAATCAGTGGTTAACCTGGCTAGAAACTGCTGAAGAAGAAGAATCAGAGGAAGAAGCTGACTAAAGAACCAGCCAAAGCCTTAAATTGTGCAAAACATACTGTTGCTATGATGTAACTGCATTTGACCTAACCACTGCGAAAATTCATTCCGCTGTAATGTTTTCACAATATTTAAAGCAGAAGCACGTCAGTTAGGATTTCCTTCTGCGTAAGGTTTTTTTGTAGTGTATGTCTTAATCATAGTCTACCATCAAATATTTTAGGAGTATCTTTAATGTTTAGATAGTATATTAGCAGCATGCAATAATTACATCATAAGTTCTCAAGCAGAGGCAGTCTATTGCAAGGACCTTCTTTGCTGCCAGTTATCATAGGCTGTTTTAAGTTAGAAAACTGAATAGCAACACTGAATACTGTAGAAATGCACTTTGCTCAGTAATACTTGAGTTGTTGCAATATTTGATTATCCATTTGGTTGTTACAGAAAAATTCTTAACTGTAATTGATGGTTGTTGCCGTAATAGTATATTGCCTGTATTTCTACCTCTAGTAATGGGCTTTATGTGCTAGATTTTAATATCCTTGAGCCTGGGCAAGTGCACAAGTCTTTTTAAAAGAAACATGGTTTACTTGCACAAAACTGATCAGTTTTGAGAGATCGTTAATGCCCTTGAAGTGGTTTTTGTGGGTGTGAAACAAATGGTGAGAATTTGAATTGGTCCCTCTTATTATAGTATTGAAATTAAGTCTACTTAATTTATCAAGTCATGTTCATGCCCTGATTTTATATACTTGTATCTATCAATAAACATTGTGATACTTGATGCAGTTGCACAATATGTGATTTTTAAGTAAGACCCACATATTTATGAGGAATTGTTTGCTTTGTAGGTTAGGAGACCAGTTTTAGCTTGAAGATTTACGGAACTTTAAACTTCATGAGACACAATTCAAGGTGGTTATTCAAGGATCAGATTACTTACTAGAAGACCTCAGTCAGTAACTGCTGTTAAGGAAGGCAGTGCTGAGGTCAGGTCTCCTGAATTCTGGGCACTACTACTACATAGCAACAAACTTGCTGAAACACACTGATCTCTGAGACGCAGACCACCCTCATGGCCAAGACAAGCACAGGTATTCTGCAGGTGGAGCTGCCAGGAATGGCCCCTGCCTGGGAAGTTTTCTAGAAGCCCTGTGCTAGCCCAGTGAAGTTTGCTGCTGCCTAATCCAACTGAAGCTCTACATGGAAGTTGAAGATGTGTTTTTAGGAACCACTAAAACATGTTTATGCACCCAACTAATTGCTGATGAGCCCTAGTAGGAACGTGACTATTCTGGGCTTGCTTTGGCTTGGATAGAGGCTCTTGAAGTACTACTGGAGACCAGTTGCTGTCTTACTGCCTATGAACAAGCAGTACTTGGCTTGGGGAGAGCCCCTAGGCAGACAATAATAAACATGCTGCTGACCCTGATAGAACCTTCACTGTCTAATGTGCTACCTGTTTATTCTTCAAGAGGGTTGTGGATAGAACCAGTTTTCTATTTGAGTGAGAAAAGTGAGCCAAGCCCTTCCTGTATTCTCACAGTTTATTCACTGACACAACAGATGTGTAGCTTTTAGTAGGTAACTGAGTATCATGGAATTCAGGCTAAGCATAAACTAATGTAAACTAAAGAACTTGAAACTTACTGTGTGAGTCTGTATAAATAAATATTCCTGGCCCTCTGCCCAACCCTCCTCACCAAGGGGGAAATTGATTTCTTTTAACCCAGCAAATAACAGTTTGTGGTTAGGGAGGTAGGTCTTGAGTTTACAGACAGAATTCTCCCAATGAGCTGAGGAATTGAGCCAAAGGAAGTCAGACCTGTTGTGCAGTGGTTTTTCATTGGTCACAGTAGTAGGGCTTTCATCCACCCCCATTCTTCCAAGAACAATTCAGATACCCCTTAAAAAAGAGTTCATCTGTTCCAAAGACACTGAATGGCATATTTTATAATGTGCCATACCATAGAAAACTATTTGGATGTATTAAGCATGTACTTTCTATGAATGACTATGCTACTAGTATTAGCATACAAATATGCACTGAGTTGCCTTAAATAGGAGCTTCCATGTATTTTTATATCTGTTATAATTACTGCCCCAGACT